AGTCACCAGCTGAAGTTTTGCTAGGCAGAAATATCCGCACCAACTTAGATCTGCTAAAGCCGAAAGCATTGCGTGATACTCAGTTCGAGTTAGTCCACCAAAAACATCGTATGAAGTAGCAGTTCGACCGGAAGCATGGGGCTAAACAAAATTCGTTCTGTAGTGAAGATACTGTTTATGCCTGCGTTCACAAAAACAACAACAGCTTTCAATGGATGCCTGGAAAGATAGTTGAACGTGTTGGCAAGGTGATGTATAACGTATTACTTGACAATCAGAAGCTCATAAGAGCACATGCTAATCAATTGCGCCAACGATTTTGTGACAGTCCCTAACAATCTACGAAAAAGGAGATGAACTCTTCAAAAATGCTAATGGACGCTTTCGGACTGTACGAAAATGAGAAAAATGCATCTGTACATTGTGGGAGTGGATCATCTCGTGCAACTTTACAACCTAATAATGCACCTGCAACGCAATTCGAAGATAACAGAGATACACTATCGAATGATAACCCTCTAGCGCAATACGAAGATAACAGAGCAACACCAACAAAGCGACCCCAGCGCTTACGCCGACCCGTGCAGAGGTTTGTTCCGGGTTAAGCTAAAGCTAACCAACTCAAAAGGGGAGGTGTTGGCATCCCGCAAATAAGTAGCAAAATGTGTATTGGGAGTGCAACCCTGCACTCGGTGAGATGTGAGAGAGTGGCTTGCAACCCGGACACTGAAGTGACGACAGCGATATACGTGTGCCTGCTTAACCTTAATTATTTTCTAATTTCATAATTGTAATTTGTTTCCTTTAACTTTCAAATAAAACTTTTGTAAATTGCAACTCAACCACGTTTGAGTTGTAACACATACATTTGGGCACAATATACAATAAGTATGTTTGTATCGCACACCGTCTTCAAAAGAGGCACAACGCAAAAATCAGATCCGGAAATATACAATGGTCGAAAAAATTATAGCCGCACTATATTTTGACAAGTTTTACCATTTTTTTTGGTATTTAATTTTATTTTTTTTATACAAATATAGTTCATTCTTTAACCCATGTAAATCCAAGTTTCATACTTTATGCAATGTTTAAAAAAAATCCACATATTTTCGTAAAAGTTTCGAGCTTTTTTAATTAGATTTCCTAGAAAGAGTATGCAGTCAATTCTGCTCAGAACGCAGGCATACCTCTAACCTCCTGCAAACACAGACTAATGACGGAACTCGTCGAGGAGGTAAATTTCAGGTGGGCTGTGGAAACCACCTGCCATACTACCAGGCGAATTTGGCCAAAAATTGATGTAAAGCGATCCATAGCTCTTACCCTGCTGGACCGCTCCTCTCTCAGATTAGTAGTCGGGGTTATCACCGGACACTGCCTGATGGGAACACACGGAAAAAGGCTAGGATACCCCACCAACGATTTTTGTCGCAGTTGCAGAGACGAGGAAGAGGTGGAGACCGTTGAACACTATCTCTGCCATTCTCCCGCCCTGGCCAACACGCGCAACCGATTCTTCAACAAGTACTTTCTAGATTGTTTAGCCGATGTGAACTCGGCGAACGTCCTCGACTTTTTGTGCTATATAAAACGCACTCGGTGGTTCAATTACTAAGGAAGGGAAAGAAACAAATGGCTGCGGCCAATGGTATCACAACGGGCTTTTCCAGCCCACGTGTGCTCCGCGCTCGGCGCGGGGCTGCCACTCCAACCTAACCTAACCTAAGAGTATGCAGTCTTGTAGCCCATTGAATTCTAGTAGAGTAAAGTACAAGTTTCAAATGGCTTAAAATAACGGTAGATTTTTTAGAATTTCTTTTGTCCCATTTGCTACCATAAAACGAATACACACGATTTATTTTTATAATGAAGAAAACCGTGAGATCTTAACAAAATATATTCTATAAAATCAGCGGTAACATATACTTTATTCTACTAGAATTCAATGAGCTACAAAACTGCATACTCGGAATCTTTCTAGAAATTCTAATTAAAAAAGCTCGAAAATTTTACAAAATTTGTTGATTTTATTTTTTACTATTACACAAAGTTTGGTTTTGGATTTACGCGGGTTTTGGTCAGGAATAAACTATATGTCAAAACTTGTGAAAATTTGGTGCAGCTATAATTATTTCGAACACCGTAACTGCTTGTGTATCGTACAGATTCAACGTAATTGATACAAAAACAGGTATAACAGTAATTTTCTAGTTAGAGATATAATCACCAAGACAATATTTGTTGCATGCTATAATTTGAGAAAAATCCTTCGAATTAATTTATGAAAAAAATCGGCCAAAAATGTTTTTGAGTCGTGCTTCTTTTGAAAAGTGTGTTATATGTTCATACATACCCAGCAAAAAATGTGACTAATCCAGGATGACTCCGGGAGCAATCGCAAAGATACATGCGACTAATCCCACTGTTGATGTCTTTATATGGCATGAAATGTTCGCTTTTGTTCGAGCATGTCGTATGAAGAGACTAATTGTACCGCTTAATACCCGAACGGATATAAAAAGCGACTAGTCACTTTTAACAAAAAACAAATAAGAAAGTCTAAGTTCGGGCGGAGCCGAAAATTAAATACCCGGCGCAAGTATTAAATACAAGTTAAAACGGGGGCTAACACACATACCTGTGTGAATGTGCTGACGCCGCACTTCCCCAAACACGCGCATAACCAGTGCGGGTAATTGAACTCTCATGCAAAAATAATCGAACATACGTTAGCATAATTGAATCTATGGGAAGCGCAGCGTCAGCAGTTAATTCAGCCGGTTAGACAGTAAGTCATAGTATTAAGAAATATGTTGGATTCATTCCGTTTGGGACAGGAGAAGCAGATGGTAAATATACTTGTACAAAACTAATTATTGTCTTTTATTTTAGGAAGGACAACTCGGGGCCGCCGTGCGGCCCCCAACTTTAACTTTTTCGGGCTCACGGATGTGAGCTCGATGACTTACATGTTTTACACCTTTCCGAAAGCTACCACTATATGGTAAGCCGGGGTGTATCAACGTTGAGTAAATTAGCGTCCTTAAATTTCGAAATATTGAAGTTTTAAGCATTTCTGAAATTTACTGTTATATGAAAAGCGGCCGTAATTTTGGTCCGATTTCAATAATTTTCAACTTTTTGCTTTTATGTGGCAAGCACAATAACCACACCGAGTTTGGTACAAATTGGAAGAACGGTTAACGAGATACATATATGTGATCATAAGTGGGCGCCCATTTTCCAAAATTTTATCATAAGCGTATTTCTTAGTAAAGAATTGTTCCAAGGATCAATTTTGAATAAATTAGCTTTAATATTTACTGATTTATCGAAGATTTCGTATTTCTCTAAATTACCGTTATATGGGATGTGGGCGTGGTTATTGTCCGATTTTAAAATTTTTCAGTCATTTGGTAAGCTGTACGAAGGCCACCAAGTGTGCTAAGTTTGAAAGAGATTGGTTCAGCGGTTACCAAGATAAACATATGTAACCATAAGTGGGCGTGGCTACGCGCATTTTCCAAAAATTTATAATATGCTTATTTTTCGTCTAAAAGTTATTGTAAGTATCAATTTGGAGTGAATAATCTTCAGTAGTTACTAAAATATCGCAGTTTTCGTATTTCTGAAAATTACCGTTATATGTGAGGTAGGCGTGGTTATTGTCCGATTTTTCCCATTTTAAATACCATCTGTCCTACGCCCGAAAGAAGTGCACGTGCCAAGTTTCGTTAAGATATCTCAATTTTTACTCGAGCTATCGTGTGCACAGACGAACGGACGGACGGACAGACAGTCACCGCTTAATCGATTTCTCTTTTCATTCTGATCATTTATGTATACATTTGTCTATATCTATCTCGATTCGTTTTGCCTGTTACAAACAACCGTTATGTGAACAAAGTTATAAAATACCCTTGTGCACAAGTGCGCTCGGGTATAATAAAAATTTGCTCAAGCTGCGATTCGAACCAGGGTTTTCAAGTTTGTTAAGTGTATGCTCTCTCTGTGTGCCAACGCTGCGCATGAAATTTCATTGACTTAGTGCATACATATCACTAAATTGTTAAGTTTACCCGTTAGAGATGACTCGGGGACTAATTGATCTGCAATTATACCCGTAAGCGATGAGTCGACACTAATTTATCTCCAATTGTTCCCGATTGAGACTTACCCGGAATACCCTCTTTAGAGATTAGTCGCAACATTTTTTGCAGGAATATTTACATAAAAGATAAACCCGCACATACAAACTACAAGTATTAATATCTGTTCGAGTATACAAATATTATTACTAACCGTAGTAGTGGTGCACGCTGGACTGATGTGG